GGAGCAGCACCCTGGACAGAGAAGCTTTGCCCAGCACAACCCCGAACGAGCCCGTCGGAGGACGGAAGTGTAGCGGTGTGGGGATAAAAATGGAACGGCTTTGTTTAGTTGAGTACCAGGCTTTCCATTTTGTTAACAAGATGGTGAAATAACTGTGTGTAAGCAGATTGGTTTGGCTTTGTTTCAACTGCTTCCTAGCCTGACTCTTCTGCAAAATTGAATCTGTTGTCCCTCTTTTGCTTGTGTTCAGCTTTGGTCTATAGCACTACTTGCTAGAAGCATCGCTTCTGCTTCCTCACTGTAGTATTAATCTGTAAGTGCAGTTTGATGTAATGGAGAATTTTAGTTCTTTAGGATTTACTCCAGAAAAGGACGACCTTTTATGTTACTTGCAAAAGAAGGATGCAAAATCTTAAATTTGCAATGATCTGCTTGATTTTTACTCTACCTTGCAATTCTGTATCAAGAATTGTGTGTCAGAAATGTTTTGCTCTGTGAGCTTACATGCAGAAGTCAATTGTTAATTTGTTTATCACACAGTTGGAAGTAAAGAAGAAGCTAAAGGATTTTCTGTCTCAAAATTTTGGAGGGAAGAGGAGAATGATGGTGACTCTTTGAAGGTGCATGAGGCTTTGTTTTATGTATCACCTCAGTAGCACTTTAAAAAAAAAAAAAATCTGTTTCATAATATTGATATGCAATCATGTTTAAATCTGAGGAATATGAAATTTCCCTTTTGTCTGAAACTAAGTAGCATTGCTTTTTCATCTACTTTAGAGATATCCAGAGATGACAAAAAAGATAAATACGCTTAAATGTCTTAGTATTTATAATTTCAAATGCTATATACTATGTGTGTATATATGTATTCTTCTTGAGAAATTAATTTTTTTAAAAGCATACATAATTTTATATATGTCTCTGGTAGCACTTAATGCTAATTACATCACTATGTTGTAAATTATCCATCAAACCTAATACAGCCAATAGACTTTAATTTCCTCACACATATTTCCTCTCTCGTCTTGGTATAGAGAAGCTTCTGTACGTACTAAAGGCATTACAATAAAATGTTTGGTTTAAAAAACGGTTTAAGATTGATTTGTATTTTGATATTCTTGATGAAGTGTAACTACAAAGCAAAATTATACTGCTGCTCTTTCCCAGCATAACTTGATACATTCCAAGTGTGTTGACTTTTCAGGTGTTTTATATTGAAGACTTTAAGTTGGAAAAAAAAACAACAAACTAATAACAGGGATGAAAATACATTCGTAGCTGTCACAATTTTAAAAGGCATATGCAACATACTAAAAATAGAAGGTAGAGGTAGGTGAAACTTCCAAGTCTTAGCATGTTCTCTTGGCCAAGGCAGTCATTTTTTCCTAAATTTTAATGATGAATGGTGTGGGCAAAAAGGAGGAAGTCCTTATGTCATATACCATGGTCCCGGTTTTACTTTCTGACAGTTTTTCCCATAATATTGACTCTAATTTGGCTTAAATTTGTTGAGAACTCTGGATCTCATGTGGAAGAGGGCACATTTGGCTAGGCAGCTGTCTTGCACCCTTGGAAATGAGTCATGCTATTTGTAGACTACTTGGTTTATGCATTGCTAACTTGTTTTGGACTGCTTGTCAGTATTGCTTCTAACCCCTTTCTCCACAGATCTTTTGGTTTCTCTTCTGTCATCTGCAAACTGTACTATTCTCTTCATTTACTTGAGTAATTAATGAAAGTAGTGCCAAACCTTTCACACTTCACTGATGCATCATTCTGGCTTGCTAGTGGATGATGAGCACTGCTCTCTGCATGCCGTAACTTGTATGATACAGTTACATATGTGAGTGATCCACCTACCTGATCTTGGTGTTTTGAAATGGGTGGATATTTGCAAGGAGAAGGGAGTAGAGAATCTTCGTCACAGAACAGATTAAAATTAACTAATTCCATAGTGAAAGGCTGGAATGAATCCTGTGCATACATATCTGTCCAAAGGTACTAATTTTACATCGAATCAACTTGTCTTACCATGTACCGATAAAATTTCTTTCTGTGTAGGCTCTGAAGATAGTTACTGGAAAACCCGAGGAGGGAAAATAAATGTCCAGCTTTTATTTTGCCATGAGACATTACTTTAACAGTACTGAACTTCAGTTTAGTTCAGGCATTTGGAAATGTGGGGGTGAGGAGGAAATCACACATCCAGCCATGATAAGGGGCTTGTCCGATGCATATTTCAAGTTTATCTATATTGTTTAGCATGGGCACTTTCCAACAATAAAGTTGCATAGATATTAGCATTTGTAGAAGTATGTTTTAGTTTAGACTGCTTAGGTGTATCTTGTCATGTTTAGAACTTTTTATAGCCACGGATGTTTCTCTGATTTAAGTTGCAGCCACTTTTGTTAAGAACTGGCAGATGTATTTTGCAGAAGATGCTTGTCTTGGTTTAACCCCAGTTGGCAGCTAAACACCACACAGCCACTCACTCACCCCGGTGGGATGGGGAGAGAATCAGAAGAGTAGAACTGAGAAAACTTGTGGGCTGAGATAAAGACAGCTAAATAAGTAAACCAAAAGCTACGCACGCAAGCAAAGCAAGGAATTAATTCACTACTTCCCATTGGTTCAGCCATCTCCAGGAAAGCCGAGCTCCATCATGCATAACGGTTACTGGGGAAGACAAAATGCCGTCGCTCAGAACATCCCCCCCTTCTTTCTGCTTCCCCCAGCTTTTATTGCTGAGCGTGACATCATATGGTATGGAATGTCCCTTTGGTCATTTGAGGTCAGCTGTCCTGGCTGTGTCCTCTCGCAACTTCTTGTGCACCCCCAGCCTACTCGCTGGTGGGGCTGTGAGAGAGGGAGAAAAGGCCTTGACTCTGTAAGCACTGCTCAACAGTAACTAAAACACTCCTGGGTTAGCAGCTGTTTTCAGCACAAATCCAAAACATAGCCCAATAGTAGCTACTATGAAGAAAATTAACTCTATCATAGCCAAAATCAGCACAATGCTTAACTTTCCCAGTGCAAACAGAAACATACTAGCATGCAAGAGAACTTAGAGGTCAGCTGTTCGGAGAAACTGGGAAAGCTGTTAAGTGCAACCCCTCTTTAAAAGGAATAACAAATTTTGTTTTGTCTTATCTTTTAGCATTCTGCTGGCACAAACGAAGTTGCCTGTTAAAAAGGTTAAATAACAGAATGAATCATACAGAAATTGTTGGCAAAAGTAATAGCAACTTCAGCAGCATAACATGTCAGCGCAGCAGCTCTTAAAGTCTCCCCAGTTATTTGTAGATGACAAATTTAAGAAGCTTTGATAAGTACTTGGCTGAGGGCAGAGGAGGAATTGTAATTCATCTCTGGTAAAGAAGCTTGAACTCTTCACTTTTTGGGCAGAACTTTCATTTAAAAGAATATTCTTACAAGAAGATGCAAAACTTGATGTATAAATAGAAAATAGCTGTCAAATATTTACTTAAAATTAGCTATAATTGTTTTCCTAGGTGCATCTTGATTTAATAGAGTTAAGGACCTACCAAACACTCTTAAATGTTGAAAATGTTAAACTTCAACTTAATTTTCACTTAACTTTTCTGTGCTTAATGAGATCCTAAACTTCAGTTCCGGCCTTATTTTTCTCTCTCTTTTTTTTTTTTTTTTTAATAATATCTTTTCATTCCATTGAATAAAATCCCTTGGGCTACTTAGAGTAAACAATCTTAACGCTTTCTGGTAGCTTCTAGCCTATTAGTGAATTCTGAACCTAAAGCTGAGCTCTAAACTGAAGACTTCATTTGGTATTCTTGGGGAAGATACACTGAGTAAATTCAAAATCAGTGTATCAAAGTATGTTTTTTCTGCTCTTTTCTGTCGTTATATCTGTAGTCTTTTTAATGTAGCCATAATATTGTCTATAAGATCATGGTCAATTCCCTTTAAAGGGAAAACTTCGTCATTGCATTTAGAAGTGAAAATTACTGTCCTTGAACTTTTTTCTTTCTTTCTTTCTTTGTTATGTAGTTGGAAGCAAGTGTTTCTACTCTTCCTATATAGGAGAGCCTTGGAAAAAAAAAATGTTGCATTTGGCATAAAACTGGTACGGTACTTCTTAGGAACCAGGCTTTAATCTTAATTTTATAACTTGTAAGTTCTGAGAATTGTCTAATGTCTAACTGTTGTGTGCCCATTGTACTGCCAAATTAGAGTAGCAAAACCCCACTTTGTGTCCAAATTCAGCGTGGTTAATCTTTCAAACTGTAAAAACTGCACGTGAAGTTTTCCAGCTCTGGGACATATGGTTAGAAATAGACTTTTTCAAGAAGAGTCCCTGGAAATAGTTGAGGTGTTTGCACTGTGCTGATGCTGTAAGGGTCACCAGTTATCCAAGCTCCCTTTGGAGGGAAGAGAATAGGAGTGAATGGATCTGGATTGCAGGCTTGTCACTGTGTGTGCACTGAAATACTCATGTATTGTAAGGCTTTACTATTTGTTGCCTCTTTTTAAGGTTTCTTTTAGACCTGCAATAGACAAAAGATTCAAAAAAACCAACCCATAAAAGCTAAGGAGGCAGATCTGCCTGGCTGAGCCTAGTGGTATGTGCTGTTTGGTGTAAGAGAGTTCTAAATCATACTCTTCTGAATGTAAGATGAGTTGACTTTGAGGTGAACTCTTCTCTAGAAAGACTTTGTTGCCGCTTCCATGGAGTTGCAAGACACCTTACTCTGTAAGGTATCTTTTTAAAGATACATGCAAGACCCTATTTCAGGTAGAATGGTTAGTGGCCTAATTGCATTTATCAGTAATTAGAAATAAGATTTGAAGCTGAGGCGTGTACTTTGAACAGGTGGGCGAGTTGGGCAAAGCCCGCTATATTTCAAAACTTTAATAAGCTCAGTCACCCTGTTAGTATATGGTTTCCTTTTTGCCCCAGGTGTTTTTTGGTATGTAACTGTGATTATAGGTTGAGTGGTATCTGCCTTCTGTCTTTGCAGGTGAAGATGGAGCTGGTAAAACTAGCTTAATAGGAAAAATTCAAGGAATAGAGGAATACAAAAAAGGAAGAGGAATGGAGTATTTGTATTTAAATGTGCATGATGAAGATCGAGATGGTAAGTTTGTATTTCTAAAAATACCTTAAACCACTTTGAAAGGAATGGTTCAGCACTGTGATATTTGGAATGACAGTGGGATGTTTTTTTTTCTTGATAATTTGCAGGAGTCCAGCTTAGGCCGTGAGTGATCTGCATCATCAGGAAGCTTCTCGGTGTAATTCCTTTAATAGATACCATGAATGACCACTTAAGAGGTAGAGGAGGAGAGGAACCAGTCAAAAGAAAAGGCTGACAAGACCAGGGAAGCAGTCTTAGCTGCAAAGTTCTGAATGGATTGTAGGCAGAAGTGCATTCCTCATGCCCAGAGAAAAAGGTGCCTGGGCTCATATCTTGCATCTCAGTTATTGTAGCAAGTATTTATCTATCTGGACATACAGAGAAACTTTTGTCTTGGTAGTATCAGAATCTGCAAGACTGCATATCATATAGTGATGGGTAGGAAAACGTGCACAATGGTGAAGGAGATTCTAAAACCAAACAACTATAACAAAAAAACCCCAAACCACCAACGCGAAAATTTGGAGGAAGGAGAAAGTAAAGTAGAAGCTGTGTTTCAGCTGGCTTGAGTTGGCTTATGGTTAGAAGGTAAAAGAGATGTTTAAGATCCAGACCCCAAATACTGCAGTTATGGAATGGATAGTAGATGCTTCTGTGTCGGGGGTTGGGGAACAAGGAAAGGTGTATGACTGGGCACTGCACAGATGCGATGAATTATCTAGAGGCAATACTTGTAGAGGAGTGAGGTGTGAATAAGGACCCACTGGGAGCTGTGGGGAAAAATGAGAACTCTTGTCCATGCTATAAGAACAAATACAGGTAGAAGGAGAACCAGAAGAAGTTAGCCCTTTTTTTCATCTGCTTTCCTGACTTCCATGTCTGGCTACTGGTCTCAAAGATGACTTGACCAGGGTTAAGAGGATTGGGAGTTTGTTCTAAATATCTTCTTCAGAACTTCTGTAACAAGTAATAAAAACTTACCTGAAGGCAAAATTTAATTATATTAAGCTATCTATTTTTAATTGCCAGGTCTTTGTTTACTGCAGAAGTGTCTCTGAATATTGAAGTATGGTGTTTTGGGGGCGGAGGGAAGCAGAGGGATGGTCTATTCGAGTGATGATTGTCCTTTTGCAAATCTGAAGAATAACTTTCTTGCCTGCTAAGTCCATCTGAATCATTTAAAAACTTGCAGTTCTGCTCCAGTTTTTGGAAGGGCCAAGGTACGTTCTGTACTTTTAAGAGTTATATAGGCATATCACATTGGAGTTTTGAAGGGGAGATGGCAGTCCACGAGAGCTGAGCAGACCAAGGGCAGAGAAGGGATGGCTGAATTCACCTAGTTCCCCCCTTCTAAGTTGCATCTTGAAGAAAACATTTTCCCTCTCTAAAATGGTGAACATTAATTTTGGAAATGTTGAATTTATCTCGGGATTCTCACTTTCAGATAATGCATTTAAGATCTTCAGTTATCAGCCATTAAACATCAGGGTTTGGAAGAGGAGAGTTGTCTCCACAAGCTGCAGTTAGCTGTGTTTTGTTTGTTCAACTGACTGATAAAACATGTCATCTGCTTTCTTCCTTGTATTTTACATGTCTGAAGAAGATTTAATAGCCACTATATAGTGGACTGTCTTAAGTAAGTCTCGTAAAATGTTTTTCCTTTTTTTGTAGACCAAACAAGATGTAATGTGTGGATTTTGGATGGTGACCTGTATCACAAAGGTCTTCTTAAATTTGCGATGGAGGCAAGCTCTCTAAAGGACACTCTAATTATGTTGGTAGTAGACATGTCTAGGCCTTGGACTGCACTGGATTCTTTACAAAAATGGGCAAGTGTTGTAAGAGAACATATTGACAAGTTAAAAATTCCTCCTGAAGAAATGAAAGAAATGGAACAAAAGTGTAAGTATTCCGCATATACATAGGAATCTACTTAAATCAAATATGCTTAATGCTTGCTGCACCATTTAATCTCTCCATTGCAGTCTCTTTCATTCTTTGGAGATGTTACTTGAAATTAGGAGTTTACAAGCACGTCAAGCTTCAGCTAAGTCTCAAGTAGCTATATGAACAATACTAGTATGTCCTTCTAGCAGAAGTACCTCAGTTGTGGAGGGGAAGCTTTCAGAATGAACACAGATGGGTTACATTTACAATCTTGTTTCATACTGATTTTTCTAGATGAGATTCTCCAAGGGCGAGAAACTTACTAGCTTTCATTTTTTTTATTTTAAAGGCAAATCACTGCATCAGCTTCTTAAGTGTTCCTGTAATTAGTCTAGAGAATCTGGGACCTTTTCCCTGCCTACCAAAAGTGTAAATGAAAGAATTAATGACAGCATGGTAATGTCAGGGCCCTTTATACTTCAAGAGTTTTATCATAATTATTATTGACGCTAATGTAGCTATATGTTTGTTTTGGCGTGGATATGATACAGCTCTATCAGCATCTGGCCTTTTTAAACATGCAGAACACAAAGATGTTGCAGGATTCAATAACTTACCTGATGGAGCTCACTAACATCATCGCTCCGTATTACTTTTGGGTAGCCACTGTATTTTCCTTGGCATACTAAAACATAAGTCTTTCCCGTTCATCTCTCAGTGAATTACTCCAAGGAAGAGCATTTGAGGAAGCTGTGTGTTAAGATCAAATAGCATGTTTAAACTTCATTTATAAGTCTGAAGTTGCTCTCTGGAACTGATACTTAAACAGCTGACTGCCAGGTTGCTGAACTGCTTATTCAGAAATGCAGGTTGTAGCTGTGCCGTGATAAAGCAGCCCATAAGCTGACAGCTGTAGATACTCTGGAATGGGGGGGGGAGAGTGTTGGTTATTTTGTTTATTCTTCCAAGAGAGAGATTCTTCTAAGAGAAGTATCATCCTTCAAAATCTCATCTTCCACAACAGGAATTTGTTCAGGAGTGAGGAGCTGAGCTCTTTTGGGTGTGAGGTTTGTTTTGGTTTGGTTTTGGTTTCAGGGGGTGGTGTTAGTGTGTGTATTAAACACCTCCCGAGACAGTTTCAGAATAGGATTTTACTGGATGACAGTAGTAAGGACACAATATCTCTGTTACCAAAAATACGTAGGCAGGTGTTTTTGCTTCTTTACTGACTGAGTGAACTGAATAGGGAAACTCTACAAAATCCAGAAAATTTAAGTGATGAAGTGACTCAAGAAAAGTTTTGTCTGTTCTCTTGTTCTTTTATCATCTGGTCTAATTCTTACAGATATTGATCATGGTCTGTGTGTTGGGTATAATAGAAGCCCTGGACACAACCGAGATATGACTGGAAGATGTTTTTTGTTTTCAGCCTCCTGCGATGTGGCTTCAAGCATTGCTAGGCGGGCACCAGCTTGACGCTGCCAAAAGGAGGAGGGAGGAATCTTACTTGTCTGACTCTTGGCTGCATGGGCCTGCTTTATTCTTGTGTCAGGCTCAGTGTCCCTGTAAGCTGATGTAACCTGCCAAGAGGACTGAAATCTCCTGAGGGTTTGTGTGGGGAGTTTTCTGGAGGTGTGCTGCTGTGCTTGTCTGCCAGTTCTAGCAACTTCACTCAAAGACAGACCCCGTGAGGACTAAAACTGGTATGGGGAAGGCATTAGGGGGTACGCAGCAGCTGTGCGTGAAGGGTTGAAATAGCTCATCCTGTTACTGAATCCAGCCGTGTCTAGTGAAGCCTTGTGGCCTGGTCATTTTAATTGTGTGTCTAAGGAAGACCTGAGCTTGTATTCCACAGTCTTTGAGCTGCGATATACTACACATCAGTTCTCCTTTTAACTGTTTTCTGTACTTTTATAAAAGTTAGTGTGTTATGGTCATACACTGGGAATTTTAGGAATCCACTGGAGGACTTCTACCACTGGAATAGTGTGATTTTTATTTTAGCATGCAATTTTCCCAGAACAGACAGGATGCTGTGTAGGAAAGATTCCCTTGACTGGCTGGCATATCTTGGTGAGAACTCTGGGTTTAAAACACGGTCAGTTGGGGAGGTTTTCAGAAGCTCTCAGACCAGACTAGAGTAGCATCATTCCCTGAAGAAGAGTCCAAGTTGACTGTTCAAGTAGAGATGATAATCTGTGCATATGTGCTCTTTGTTATTGTGAACTCCAAGATCTGCAGAAAAGTTGAATAATCTTGGCCTGATACATCTTTTTCTCTAGAGTGCTGAAATAAGTCTTGCTATGTTAATTCAACTAATGCTTTTCTAGGTATGAACTCAGAGGGCTTCAATCAGTTTAGTGAAGGTAGGGGTGGATTAACATAAATCAGGACAAAGCAGTGGGAATGTACTAGAGTAATTAGTGGTTAGTGTGCATGATTCAGCTAAATTGTCTTGCTGCCTGATTTTTTTTGGCTGAATCAGGGTGTGCTGCTCATGGAAAAGTAATCAGAGGTGGGTTTTCATAGAATCCTGTTTCTGCTGTGTGAAACAGGACGTGATGAGAAAAGTACAGACGTTTGATGCCTAATGTTGCATCCCTGACTGTAGGAATAGAAAGTGACCGTGTAATTAGAGGCTTGGGTGTATGCATTGGAACCTGACAAGAGTTACACTTGTCACTATCTTTTTTCCTAATTCTTATTATATTCTGACTTGCCTTCCTTTTAAAGTAGTGTGTGATCTATTGTAAAAGCATACCAAATATTTAATGTGCTACTATCTAATTATAAAGCTAACTAATAACTAGTGTTTGTGTATTCTACTCTTTTTGCTTATAACTGCTGTAGATTCACTGTACAGAGAGGCACATGTGGTCACAGGGTTTTTAGGTAAAACCTGGTATATGGCAGCAGCTAAGCAATACTTGTAAGGCTTAATTCCGCTTACTCTAACGAACTGTTCCATTCATTTTGCCAATAAGAATGCAAGCAAACTTATGTCCTGTAGAAAATGTATCAAGTAATAACAGTTAATAGCACCTGCCTAGTGGTTTCACAGTGATAAAATCATCATGGGTTAATGCTGTCCCTATGGATAATTTCGTACGATCACGTTCTGGCTGCTGATAAAGCAGATCTCAAACTTGGTAGTTCTCTCTTGCACTGTACAGAGCAAACAAATAGTCAGCAGTTGGTGCATGCTTGATTTTTTTCAACATAAAGAAGCAGAAACACTGTACAATCAACAGTGCTAGAGATCAATGGCAGTGGAAATCATTGTTGAAATAATAAAGTAGCTGATGTTTTAATATAACTTTTTTTTATTTTCAGTGGTAAGAGACTTCCAGGAATATATAGAACCAGGCGAGGATTTTCCAGCTTCTCCACAGAGAAGAAATACTTCATTACAGGAAGACAAAGATGACAGTGTGATTTTACCCCTGGGTGCAGATACACTAACATGTAACTTAGGCATTCCAGTAGTAGTAGTTTGTACAAAGGTTTGTTTCACATTTTAGGTTTTTTGCATATTTTATTTAAGCAACTCTGTCAATTGTGGATTTGGGGTGGGAAACACATGGTTATTAAGTCCTTCTGAATACCTTGCATAATTATTTTAAAATGTTTAATGTTGAAGGTTGGTTATCGTTGGAAGCCCTCACTGCATCTTATTTTGGGATTAGTTTTTCCTTTAGTTCTACCAGTTTTCAAGGAATTGAGGAATACCCCAAACCTGGTTTTGCTCACAGAAGTGAGCTAGTCGGTAAGCAGCTAGAATTCCTCTTGATCTCCACAGTCCTCCTTATTCCACAAATAGTGTTTTGGTAGGTTTTTAATATTTCTGATCTTTTTCTGAAGATTAGTATATTTGAGGTTTCTAGTTAGTAAAGTGCTGCTCTACTGACTTTCCTCAGTTCTTAGGGTGTTTCTGTGATCTGTTTTGCTTTCTGTTAGATGTATAACCATATTATTAGTCTAAAGAAAAAAAAAGCGTGCTTCTCTTATGGCTGTTTTTTAGGTTTTTGTTCCCCCTCCACCCCCTGGCTCTTCAGCTCTCATTGGCATTAAGCATACTGCATCTGCAGCATCTGCTGGCCCATAGTGGAAGAAAAAACCTTTTGATGCATAAGCTGTTCCTTCGCTGGAAGGCGGTCTCATTTGAAAAGCACCTTTTTTCTCACCTCCACCCCTCCCCCTTTTTTTTTCTGCTTCCACATTTCTTGCTTTTGCCTTCCTTTGCAAAGTGCTAGTTAGTAACTGGCTAAAAACCACTATGTCCTGTAATACCACAGTGTGTAAAAATACACTGGGAAGAAAATAGTAGTGTCACTGAGTGGGTCAGTCTTCAGCAGAGACTTGGAGTTATTGTGTTGGAGGCGGGGAGCGGGAGTGAACAAAAAATCCCATCACTTTAATTCCCAGGTTAATGCTGACCACAGTTCATGTGCATCAAGTTATATATTATTAAAAAAAAAAAGGTTCAATTATGCTTCTAAATTAGGTCAGCAGGTTTTTGTTTTTCACTGCACCAACTAATCCATCTACCCCCCTTGCCAGTTGTGAACTGGACATGTAGCAGCACTGCTATTTCAACAGACAACTGAAAGTGGTATATTAATTTTGTGTTTTGTTTGACAGTGTGATGCCATCAGTGTTCTGGAAAAAGAGCATGACTACAGAGATGAACACTTTGACTTCATTCAGTCACATATCAGACGGTTTTGCTTACAATGTATCCTTTAACATGTCATAGAGATGATAATGACTCGATTAAATCTCTGCATTAATTATGACCAACTTAAAAGAATCTTGAAAGCGTCTATACCAAAGTAGTATGCAACTTCTTTACTGTAGCTGGCAGTCTGCTTCAGCTACCCCTATAGACAATGTTGAGTTAAACTTTTCTGGGTTTTGTTTGGTTTGGGGGTTTTTTTCCCCCCAGCGCTGCAAGTCTAGCATGTCCGCTTACCATGAACTTCTTTACTTGTGCTCATTTCTGTATTTAGGAGTCAGTTTGCAAATCAGTGCATATTAGCTGACAGGCTCCCTAAAATAATAACAGGTAATTCATTAAAGTATTATCTTGCTTCAGGCGGACATAAGGCATGTTATTCTTTTTGACCCAAATATGCAGTCTTTTCAGTGTTCAGTAATTCCACAGGATGAGGTGATGAGGGAAGGAAGGAAGTGTGAACTGCTGTAGGAAAGATCCACTGGCTTCACTTCTGTTGGTATAAAGACAATGCACATAAGCTGTTGCTGTGCTATTATTATTTTTAACCTTCCTTTTTTTTAAAGAAGTGTATAAAATACTGTTTAATGTTGTTTAGTCAGCTAAACATACTGAGATCTAGATTTGAGATGCCAGTAATATGCCTACATTGTGTTACCATCATTTGTGCTGTGGTAAAGGGAAGTTTAAATGATATTGGAGAGACAGCAGTTAACAGATGGAAAAATTGGCTCAAGATCCTGAGACCTTAGTTGAGTACCAAGATGGCACTTCCTTCAAAGGGCTTCCAAGACCTAATTTTTAAAAATGGAATTATGGGTAACTGTAATAAGTCTTGTGGATGGAGGAAGAATACAAAAGATTAGTAGGAATTGGTCTCTGTGATTGTATATGCAATGATGAACTTGGAATTCTATTCCAAATTTCACCAAATGGGAATCAGATCCCATTATAAAGCTTTCTTCTTCTAGAGTTTGTACAAATTAGGGGGTTTGGCATTTTTGTAATCCCGAAGTAAAAATTACTTCAAACTTCCCTGTCTGCTTTTATTAATCCTGTGCGTAAGCTGTGTTAATTTGATACTGACCCATGCTGGAATACTAAGCACTCTCTTGGTCTTCTAGTAACTGATACCCTTCATTTAATTCGAAAGCAGATTACTGTAGAATGTAAGAATTGACTCCCCTAATCTAAAAACCCAGGTGGGGAAGTGAAAGACCTTTGGCATTTTTGAAGCTGCTAGTCTTAGTGCTGTAATGGCTATGTTGCAGGATGGGATAATGACAAGATCAAAGGGTATGGCATGAAAATCTCTGCTCACGAAAAGCAGAAGACAATTTTGAAGGCATCATAGTGAAACCATTGGTATTGTGGGCTTTGAAAGTAAGATGAGCCTTTACTCTAAAAGCAGTAGCTGAGTCGGCCTAAAACAAATGTGGAAAGAAAGATTTAAATTACTGAATAGCTTATTTCAAATATTAAGTGTTGGAAGTTGCTTGACCTGTTTGGGTTTTTTCTCTTCTAAATTCTACAAAGTAGGTAACCTTTAAACCCAAAAATGGGTCACTTTAGTATCTCTTACTAGCCACTGCACTGAGTTTTCTTTAACAAGTTTATTCAGATGGGGCAGCACTTATTTACACTTCAGTAAAGGAGAACAAAAACATTGATTTAGTGTATAAATATATAGTCCAGAAGTTGTATGGATTTCCTTTTAATGTTCCAGCTGTTGTTGTGGAAAAAGATGCAGTATTTATGTAAGTTATCCATGTGTATATGACAACAAAATATACTTGTGCGATACTGTAAACAGCATTTGGAGCCTTTTTTTGGTTATGCTTTTTGAAGTTCCATTTAACATTCTCATGAGTTGGATTTCGGTGAGTGCCAGTGGATTGAGATTACAAATACTCGCTGCCCCAGAGAGAAATGTTAAACCCAGAGGTGTTGCTCTTCTCTGTTATGGTGAACCAGTCTCTAACAGTTGTACTAGTCAATAGCTAGCTTGCACAGGAGAACGGGAGCTATCACAACTTTCCTGGCTTTCAGTTCTGTGCGGTTCAGGATTGCATACAAGAATAACCTGAAGCAACAACAGAATTTAAAGCCAAATAATCCTTTATCTAGTCCTGCAGGTTGGGATAATGACAAGAAGATAGGAATATTGCACGAGAACTTTCAGACACTAAAAGCAGAAGACAGTTTTGAAGATATCATAACAAAACCACCAGTCAGAAAGGTACATTGAGGTGTTTTTTGTTCTGGTTTGTTTTTTTTTTGGATTTCAACTTCTTATCTATTCATTTACCGGTCAGTTTTCTGACTCTTTCTCTTTCTTGGAGACTTTGCTTCCAGTTTATCATGGGTGTGATAAACCGTGTGGGTGTTTTTCTTATTTTGTCTTTTTATTTTGTTCTCAAAGTTATCCTTTTAATTATCAAAAAAACATTATGTGTTTTTGTTCTGTATAGCTTTTGTCAAGCTTACACTGTTTTTTTTCTCCTGCCACTGTTACATTGTTCAAGACTACAAATATACTTGTTTTGCTTTTAATGCATATTTGGTATTGAGACATCTAAGTGTCATTTAACTGTTGGTCAGGTTGAGTCAGTATTTTTTAAGAACGCTCCATTTTGCTCCAGGTTGCTCATAACTTCATAATGCTTTCTGTTTCTGTTGGGAGTATTTCAAATAAGAAAGCTTGAGACAGTGTAAAACCAAAAATAAATATGTGAAAATGGGTTCTACGTATATTCAGCTTATTTGTGCTCTCATACTACTTAACAAAAGGCTTTTACAGAACTACTGGAAAACATACGTGGGGTTGAACAAAATGCCAGCAGCAGTGGACCCCATGTGTGCCGAAGTTACTGTAGGCAAATATTTCGGTAGCTTTTTCTAACAAAATTGAGAATCTGGGACTGATCATATTTCCACGTGTGAATTATTTTAGCTGAGAAAACCAATACTGTGTCCTTTCTGCAATCTTCAGTGAAAAAATCAAGACATACGTAGGAGTATGTTAAACCCTAAGTGTCCAAGGAAAATATAACTGACAGGTTTTTTGCATGCCTATAAACTTTAGGCCTGGATTATAAATTTTGATATTGATATTTGACATGCTTGTTTAGGCAAAGTTTTTGTGGTGAGCTTATTTGGAGGGAGAGTACTTGCAATTTGATGCACGGACCTGGGATCTAAGATGCCCCTGTGCGGTTTATGCACAAGTCTGATGCAGTGCAGGTGCAGGGTCACTTGCCGTAGTTATCTATAAAATAATACCAAGGTTGGGCCTCAGTAAGTTAACAGAGACATGAGCATGCTGCAAAGTGTGTACGTCTGTGAACGTTTCTGACAGATCCTGAGACCCCTGAACGTCCCTTGTAACTACTTCATTCCTCTTCTGCTGAACACTTTAATGAACTTTCTAATGGGTCTTTCTACAAGTACATCTAGAGACTTATGCCTGACAGGTCAAAGGAGTTAATGATACTTCTGATTAACTTAGCTTAAATGGAATCATGAGGTAGAAGTCTGAAATACAGAAACTATGGTCTGCAGTCAACATGGGATTTTATGCATTGAACTTATTACTGAATGCCTTGGTCATATTCACAGGGGCGACAAAAAGAAATAAATTTCTTTTTTCTTTTTTTTTAGTCAAAATTATGTTAATGTTTTTGTATTGCAGTTTGTTCACGAAAAAGAAATTGTAGCAGAAGATGACCAAGTGTTTCTTATGAAGCAGCAGGTAACTTTCTGTCTATAAAACAAGCAGCCAGAGTTTCATTTAACAACATTCTCAACACAAATTTAGTTTTGTATTCTCAGTTACTGTATTATCTAACGCTATATGGGTTTGTTTTTTGCAGTCACAGTTGGCGAAACAACCACCTAGTGCTGCAGGAAGGCCAGTGGTTAGTAATAAAAATTTTAAATATCATCACTTGAAAATGATTCACTTTCATATATTTAGAGGGTTGCTTGTTTTAATTGCACTATCAAATCTTTGTTGGTCTAAATTTTTAAACTACATAGTGTTTAAAGTCTACATCATATACAGTTCTAAAATTGTGACACTTCTTCACAGCTAGTGAAGACAACTTGTATTGACAGCAAGGTCTAAATGTCATGGCTTTACTTTTTGTGTTAGAGTGTTAGAATTAAGCGGGTAGTTGACTCCCCTTTCTGTTCCAAGAGTGTGCCCAGGAGCAAGTTATGTTGGCTGAATTGCCTTGGTGAATTTTATATCCTAAATGTATTATAAATATTTTATATCCTAAATTTGGCACTGTCTCTCTCTAGAAATACTAAGACAGTGGCATAAAATTAAGGCCAGATGAAAACTGACATCATCTACATTTCAAATGCAAATAAAGTAACTAAAAAGTAACACAGGTTTAATGGGGAGCATGTGGTCTCACAAAGGCAGTTTTACCTCTTTAGATGAACTGCAGTTTTGCAGAAACATGACTTGTTCTCCTTGACATAATGAATAATGCTTTTTCTTCTGGGCTGCGTTTAGTCCTTTCCACAGTATTGGTGGTATGTGTTGTCTTTCCAAGAAATTTCGTGTAGTTCCTCTGTGATCTAATCAGTGCAGTTTTCATTAGTCAGAGGCAGTACTGAGTAACAGATGGATTTTCAGATTTCTCACTGAGATAAAATAAAAAGCTTCACTATTGCTTTAGTTGCACTAAAGTTAGTATTTGCAAGAATGTTATGCAAGTGTGAAAAAACTCATGCACAATCAGCAAAATCTAACCTGGTGTCACTTCAGTTGCATGGGATACTATGTTATTTAAAAAAAAAAAAAAAAAAGATTAGGAGCTGTGAGAAATAACAAAATGCTTCATTTCATGTATTCTTACACTGCATGATTTAATTCTGTAGAAGATTGACTTGTTCAGCTTTGGAATTTTTTTTTTATAGGATGCCTCTCCAAGAGTTCCTGGAGGATCTCCTAGAACACCAAATAGATCCGTAACATCAAATGTTGCCAGTGTTACACCTATCCCTACTGGGTCAAAAAAAATTGATCCGAATATGAAAGGTACCTTTTCTTACGAGGGCACAGATACAGTTGGGGAAGTAAAGTAGCTGCTTTGCTTGCTTTCTTTAATATGCTTATTTAGATTGACTAACAGACTAAATCAGTATTTACTCAGAAAATCTGTTTTATTTTGGTTTTGTTGTGGCTGTTTTTTTTCCCCTCCCTCCCCTTGTAGCTGGAGCTACTAGCGAAGGAGTCCTGGCTAACTTCTTCAACAGTCTCCTGAGCAAGAAAACTGGTTCCCCTGGTGGCCCTGGTGGTGTTGGTGGCAGTCCAGGAGGAGGTGGCACTGGAGGTGCTGGCAGCAACTTACCACCATCAGCAAAAAAGTCAGGTATGATTAATGATAAAAGATCACCTCCATCTAAATTGTGAGGGTGAATCGTTCCTATTGGTATAGTTTCAGAAGTATGAACACTACTATATTTAACTGAATGTTTTATTGGATACGGTTTTTGCTTTTCTTTTCACAGCAGTTTAGTATTGCCTTTTTATGGCTCTTGGAGGATCAAAGAAAAACTTCTCATGCAGCTGTTTAAGCATGAATTGTGTCCACACGAGTTCCTTCGTTCCCCACCATCCCAATAAATGGCCTATGCTGTGAGCCATTTTTAATATTATTCAGATATATTGGGACTTAATTTCAAGTTGATTTTTTTTAACACCACCTTCAGTGTTAAAATAACTCTAAATTTTCTTTTGCTAGTGATCTAGCTCTGATGTGATGAAGGCTTTGAGTTTGACAGCCTGTAAAAGTACTTATGTATTTTCTGTTGATAGCCTTTTATATGATGTGATTAATGGTTAGTATTAATCTAAAAATGTCTAATTAGTCACTGCTCTAAAGCTAGATGCAAGACTACACTGGTGCTTCTTGCTATTCCAGATTAAAACGTTTCTGTATTACTTAAGAACATACCTATACAGATATCTTGCTCTCCCCAGAGGTTAGTAATGCTGCACATAGGTGAGAAGGCTGGTGTTCCACTGGTGCTTGACACTAGTGTTTACTCTTATGTAGTGAGAGGGGGGAAAAAACCACTCACCTCCCACTACCGTTTGTGTAGACTGACACTGACAGGTTTTTTTACATGTGTGCACTTCCCTTTTTTTTCAACGCAAAGCTCAGTTGGCTGAGCAAAGTTTACGAGCGCTTCCTAACCTGCTGCAGGCAAAGTCAGCAGTGCTGGTTTGACCAGCTTACGGAGACTGCGCAAACAAACGCAGCTGACAGACGGTGCAGAGAGCGCCCACTGAAAAGTCCTGGGGGGAGTGGCCAGCAGCAGGTTCGGGTGACGCCAGGCAGATGGAGGCCATGTTCTGGAGAAGTGGTGTGTCTGAGGCCATGGCAGAAACTTCAGGAACAGAATTAAACTATTAAGGAGAAAAAATATGCTCAGACATTTCCTACCATGTGTCACATGAATTTGGCAGAAAATAAACCCCCTGCTTTCTAATGCTCTTCACTGAAGTGAGAGGCTAGGTGCGGCTAGGTTTAAATTCTGAGTGATGTCCAATTTGCCACTACCAGTCCAGTCGCGTTTAATACGTATATTAAACTACCATGATTCTGGATACACTAATAGCAGCCTGCACCTTCAGTCCAGTCGTGCTCATGAACTAGCATGGCTGCTTTTGGTCGCGTTCAGTGAGGAACTGTGACAACCGG